CTTCCTCTTTCTTTTTCTTTCCTTCTTTCTTTTTCCTTCCCTCCTCTTTCCCATCCTGGCAGTGCTTAGAGACTATATCAGTGCTGGGATTCGAACCAGGGTCGCAGCCACAGACACATGCTAACAAGCACCTAAACCTTTGTACTATCTCTTTAGTCCCCTCAGTTCCTATTTTCTTTGGATTCTGAGTTGGAAACCCATGAAAATTCAGGTTTGGGATCTTGGCAGAGAAAGAAAGCTATAGAATAGTGCCTTCTGTAGGGGAAAGGCCCCAAGGGAGGTAAGTGGGTGTATAAGGGAGCTGGTCAGAAGAAATAAGGAACAGGAAGGGTGTTGGTCCCTCATTTGGGGGAGAGGGGTGTGGGCCATGCACCACAATACTCAGGGACTTTTCGAAGTTCATTTTTTGTTTTGTTTTTTTTTGGGGGGGGGGTCATACCAAGCGATGCTCAGGGGTTACTCCTGGCTCTGCACTCAGGAATTACTCCTGGCGGTGCTCGGGGGACCATATGGGATGCCAGGGATTGAACCCGGGTCGAGTGCGTGCAAGGCAAATGCCTTACCATAGTACTATTGCTCCAGCCCCTTTTCGCAAGTTCTTTGCTCAGAAATGATCCCTGGTGGTGCTTGGGTGATTCTATGTGGTGCTGGGGATGGAACTGGGGTCAGTGCACACGAGGCAAGTGCCTTCACCCCTATACCCATAAGGCAAGATCCTTCATCCGAGTATCTCCAAGGTATTTGCCCCCAACCTCTGTCCAGAGGTTTCTGGCTCTAACTTTCAATGGGATCCAACCCATTAGGCTGGCTTGTTTAGCTCACAGAATATTTCCAATTTGGGGGGACTTTTGGGCCACACTCCGTGATGCTCAAGGGTTACTATTGGCTCTGCACTCAGAGATCACTGCTGCTGGTGCTTGGGGGACCAAATGGGATGCTCGGGATCGAACCCAGATCGGCCGTGTGCAAGGCAAATAAATGCCCTACCCGCTGCACTATTGCTCCAGTCCCAATTTTCCATTTTTTGAGCCTTGTATTCACAAAGTTTGGTTGCCTGCCATTCCCAGTCGCCTGGTACCCTTGACAAATCAGAAGACGGGGTTGGGAGATGGGGGAGCCAACTAATGGGAGCTCTGCGGGGCGCTGCCCTCTTCAGTCTATAGTTGTAGCACTGTAACACTGTCCTCCCGTTGTTCATTGATTTGCTCGAACGGGCACCAGTAACGTCTCCATCGTGAGACTTGTTACTGTTTTTGGCATATTGAATACGCCATGGGGAGCTTGTCAGGCTCTGCCGCGCGGGCGGGATACTTTCGGTAGCTTTCCGGGCTCTCTGAGAGGGACGGAGGGATGGAACCCGGGTCAGCTATGTGCAAGGCAAACGTCCTATCCACTGTGCTATCACTCCATCCCTCAGTCTATAGTGAGTGATTTATTTTTGGTTTGGGGGCCACACCTGGTGGTGCTCAGGTATAACTGTTGGCTCTGTACTCAAGGGATCACTCCTGGAGGGACTCAGAGAACCATATGGGATGCCAGGGATCGAACCCGAAACAGCCTCATGCACGGCAAGCACCTTACCCACTGTACTATCAGCCCTACATTCAATGATGCTCAGTCCCCAGTGGCATGCAGAGATATGGTGGTCCCCATCTTGGTGTGGTGTGCTAGGCCACCTCGGTGAGCGGGATGACACTCAGAGATCTCTCCTAAGGACAATGTCTCACAGAGACAATTTCCCAGAAGTCCTCCCCAGGGCTCAAGGCACAGGTATGTGTGTGACCTTCACATAGCCCCACTCTCCACCACTCCCTATTGTTCCCCACACTGAGCTTCAGTCTCACTGATGACCCAGCACTGTTTTCTGCTCTGTTTCTCTTACCCACCTGGCCTCCTTGGGCTCCTGTGTCTGTCTCTGCTTACCTAGTGAGAGTTCGTTTTACTTTAGAAAGGAGCTCAGAGAGAGGACCTAATTGGTGATAGAATTCCAGAGTAGAATTCCAGCACCTTCTCTTTGTTTGAGGAACGGGAGTGAATTTGGGCTGCACCCATGTTGGATAACATTGGTCGGTCCTTTCTCCACTGCCTGCAAGGTTTATTGAGTAATACCCATCACAGTGCTCCCGAGGCACTCCCGTTCATCTTTTTTTTTTTTAAATCGAATCACTGTGAGATTCAGTTATAAGCTTTCATGTTTGAGTTTCAACCATACAATGATCAAATACCCATCCCTCCACCAGTGCACATTCTCCACCACTAATGTCCCAGTATACTCCCCTTTCCCACCCTCCCCCTGCCACCATGGCAGACAATTTCCCCTATACTCTCTCTCTCCTTTTCCCATTCATCTTTAACTTCTCTTTTGTGTTCCACTTCCCCTATCTGTTAATTGCTCATTTCCCCTAATCAGAACCTGTGACTTGTAAAGTCAGATTCTTCAGAGATCTCTGGATTTTATATTTGTAAGTGAGATGTCGCTTTTCTCTTTCCTGTATGTCCTTTGCAGTTTCCACTAGAGCAATGTCCTTTTTGTATAGACACAGGAAGAAACTTGATGCTATGCTCTTGCTACTTGAGAGTTAATGGATTCCAAATAATATTTAGTCCTGGGCATCTGTCACATTTACTTGGCTTAAGCCTCAAGTTGCCCCTAGTTCCTAGCACCCCAAAAGGAGGGTCCCAACGAAGGGACTTGGATGGACCTAGGGTAAGCTATGCTACCCTGTCATGAAAAGGGAAAAGAAACAGGCCAATCATCATAAAACTTATAATAAATTAAGAGCATGGTCATGGACAAACTCTATCATGACCCAAAAATAAATAACTGGCTAAGGACACTGCTGGGGTTAGGAAGGATTAATCTGGCCTGAGGGCTGTAGTCTGGGATCTATAGTGAGATGTTCCCAGGAGAGCCACCCTTTAAGCTTAATATATCTCTTACTTGTCCATTGAAAATGACTAGAAAGATTATTAAGAAGTAAATTTAAGATGACTGTTTAAATAGATTTGGAACTAAGGAAAGGAGAAGGAGAAATATGCCCTAGATGAAATTCCGCCCTTGGATTTCCTAGATGATTTCTTCCTAGTTTCCCCAGAAGGAAAGACTTTCATATGTTGGCTGACCTACCTCACCTATGTATAATTTCTACTTCCAATCCTTATTGATTTTTTTCTCTATAACTAAGCCTGTGAGATGGGACTCAGAAGGAGATGGGAATATAGATAATGGGTGACTGGAATGAGGGGCAGAGAGTGAGGCTAGGATAGGACATAGATTGAAAAAAATGGCAACTAAACACCAACCAGCCCCTGTTTCATGTGGAGGTGGGGAGAAAGGGACGCTCTTTCATTGTAGGTGGGAATGCCGATTGGTCCAGCCTTTCTGGAAAACAATATGGGCATTCCTCAAAAAACTAGAAATTGAGCCTCCACATGACCCTGCAATACCACTTCTGGGAATATATCCCAGGGTTGCAAAAACGCACCATAGAAATGACATTTGCATTGTCATTGCAGTATTGCTTGCAATAGCCAGAATCTGGAAACAATCTGAGTGTCTGAGAACAGATGACTGGTTAAGAAACTTTGGTACAGCTACATAATGGAATACTATGCAGCTATTAGGAAAGAGGAAGTCATGAAATTTGCTTATAAGTGAATGGACATGGAGAGTATCATGCTAAGTGAAATGAGTCAGATAGAGAAACAGAAATAGAATGACTGCACTTGTTTGTGGAATATAAAATAACATAATATGAGACTAACACCCAAGGACAGTAGATACAAGGGCCAACAAGATTGCTACACAGGGGGCTAGAGCGATAGTACAGCGAGTAGGGCTTTTGCCTTGCATGCGACTGACCCAGGTTCGATTCCCAGCATCCCATATGGTCCCCCGAGCATTGCCAGGAGTAATTCCTGAGTTCAAAGCCAAGAGTAACCCCTGTGCATCACCAGGCATGACCCAAAAAGCCAAAAAAAATAAAAGGTTGCTACATAGTTGGAAGCCTGCCTCATGAGCTGGGGGAGAAGGCAGCTGGAATAGAGAAGGGATCACTAAGTCAATGATGGTTGGAGGAATCATTCGGGATGGGAGATGTGTGCTGAAAGTAGATAAAGGACCAAACGTAATAGCCGCTCAGTATCTGTATTGCAAACCATAACGCCCAAAAGTAGAGAGAGAATAAGAGGGAAATTGTCTTCCATAGAGGCGGGGGGGGGGGGGGGTAGGATGGGGTGGGGGAGGGGAGGGATACTGGGGACATTGGTGGTGGAAAATATACACTGGTGGAGGGATGGGTGTTAAATCATTGTATGACTGGAACTTAAACATGAAAGCTTTGTAACTGTATCTCACAGTGATTCAATTATTAAAAAAAAAAAAAAGACCAATGCCTTTGGGCAGAGTGATAGTATAATAGGTAGGGTGTTTACTTGGCACACGGCCGACCCAGGTTTGATCTTTGACATCCCATCTGGTTCCCTAAGCATCACCAGGAGTAACTCCTGAGTGCAGAGCCAGGAGTAACTCCAGAGCATCACTGAAGTCTGGCCCAAAAAGAAAGAAAGAAAAAAAAAAAAGACCAGCACCCCTGCCTCTGCCCCTCTTCTTAGGGTCACTCTTGGGATTCAAGGTCTGGCCTCCTGGCAGTGCCTAGGAGATCTTTTCCTCTGACTGCTCTAAGTGGCCATCAGGACTCCGTTCCCTTCCCCCAGGCCAACCAGTGGCCACAAGGACTCAAAATAGATGAGAGGGCCTGGCTGAAAGGCGGGAAGTGACTGGAATCAGGGCTTGCTTGGGGGACGTAGAGCATGAGGTGTCTGGAAGGAAGCCAGAGATGTGGGGCTCAGCCTAGCCCCAGAGGGGAACAAAAGTCCAGGCTGCGGCCAACCAGACTCTTCCGCCAGAGCAGGTCACATCTGCCCTAGGGAAGTTTCGCAACCCCAGCGTCATCCGAGGATGGGTGAGAGCATGTGGACTGGCACAGTCCAAGCGCAGCACCCAGAGGAGAGAGCGGGAGCCAGCGCATCCCTCCTGCTTGGCCCAACCTGCCGTCTGCATGCTGGGTGAGTAACCCCTGCAGGGGTACAGCCAGAGTCAGGGGGCAAAGGGAGCCGAGGGACCCACATCGTTCTGGACATCAGCTTGGGTTGGGCTCTTGTAGCCCGAAGTCCCAGTAGCCCCCAGTAGAGTCCCTGAGGAATTGGGGTTTCTGGGGCTTCCTTGGCTCTGGAAGGCACAGTGGCAGGCCTAGGGTGGGATCAACTGGCCCTCTCAGAATCCCTCCGCTCATCCTCTGTAGTGAAAAGGTCTCTATTAACCTCAAAGAAAAGTCTTCCAGAAGGTTTCACTACCCTTGTTGCTGCTTATGGAGCATTTGCTTTATTTTGGTTTGGGTTTGGGGGTCATATCCCAGCGACGCTCAGAGGTTATTCCTGGTTCTGCACTCAGGAATTACTCCTGGCAGTACTTGGGAATTCATATGGGATGCCAGGGATTGAACCCAGGTTGGCCTAACACAAGGCAAACAACCTACTCTCTGTAGTATTGTTGTTTCAGTCCCATGTTTTGATTGTTGTTGTTTTGAGGGAGCACTCCTGGTGGTACTCAGGGGACCAACTGGTGCCAGGGACTAAACCCTGGTGAGCTATGTGCAAAGCCAATGCCCTCCCCACTGTACTAACTCTTTGGCACAGGCTTCTGGAACATTTGGTCAAAAAGATGAAGGGATGGGCTGGAGCAATAGTACAGTGGGTAGGGCGCTTGCCTTCACACAGACAACCTGGTTTTGATCCCTAGCATCCCTTATGGTCTCCAGGAGTGATTCCTGAGTGCAGAATCAGGAGTAATCCCTGAGCATCATTGGGTGTGCCCCTTCCCAAAAAAAAAAAAAAACTACTCCACCTCAATCAGTTGACCTTTGTGCCATCTTTCTGCCAGGCAGGGAACAGAGATGTTTTTGTCTCTGGACTTCACAGAAAATGGGTCCCTCACCATACCTCCTGTGGCTCTTCACAGGTGACAGAGGCCCCCAGAGTCGGAGTAGGCCCAGTTATGGCTCCATCTCCAGCCCACCAAACCTGGGGTCCCAGCAAGCACATCCTGGAGGTGCCCCCCTGAGTGAGAAGGTCCCCATCCCAGACACGGAACCGGTAAGGATGCTGAGAACATCTGAGCAATGTTTCAGGAGACCCAGGGCAGAAAGGTCACACCAAACAGGTACCTTCCTGCTCGTAGCTGCGCCCCCCGCCCCCACACTACCCCACCCATGGCTCCTGTTGACCCGGAAGCACCTAGCACCCAGGCTCAGCATTGGTCTAAACAGGATGGCTGTTTCTTCTGCATCTCGGCTTTTCTATGGAGGGGAGAGTCCTGAGAGGCTGGAGTTTCAAGAACATGAAGGGAAAAGACAGGGGACAAGGATATAGAAGAGGTGACAGCTGTGGGCTGGCTTCTAGAAAGAGTCTCCGACTTTCAGAATCTTCCCTTAAGAATGGGGACTGGGGGCGGGGGGGGGTGGCTAGCCTCAGTAGATTCTGCAAGAGAAGGTGGGAGAGGTAGCTCGGTGGTCTGTGAAGGACTGGGGTGGGAGGACCTCCATCAGGGGGGCTTAACCCCAGGAAAGATTACCCACCCCCCGACCCCGGATTTTGGATTCTGAGGATCTGCTGAGTCAGGCTGCCCAAGTGGCCCCTGCAGAAGGGGTGTTCCCTGTGACTCAGCAAGTCCCGTCTCTCCCTGGGGGTGGCGGCTCTAGGGATGAGAAAGGCAGAGAAGCCTGTTAGGGCTCCACTGGGCTCGGACCCCCAAATCAGGCCCCTCTCCTGCCACTCTCCCCACAGGGCACCTTCAGCCTGCGGAAGCTCTGGGCCTTCACGGGGCCCGGCTTCCTCATGAGCATCGCCTTCCTGGACCCTGGCAACATTGAGTCGGACCTTCAGGCTGGCGCCGTGGCTGGATTCAAAGTGACCAAGGGGCCGGGGAGCTGGCTCCAAGGGCTGGAGCACAGGCTTTGCACATGGGAGGCCTGGGTCTAGTCCTCGGGACCCCCAAGATCCTCCCCAAGCACCCGCCAGGAGCAACCCCTGAGCACTGACCCAAGAGCAATCCCTGAGCACTGACCCAGGAGTAATCCCTGAGCACCACCCAGTGTGGTTCTCAAATCAATCAAACCAACAAAACAACGATGTCCAGGCCACCATGGGGAAGGGGAGTGACCAGGCTAAAAGAGTGGAGACACCCCCTCCCGCCCCCCCTCCCCCAATCTTGCCACTCCTCCCCAAGGTGGCCACCCGGGCTGGTCTTCCTGGGAGTAGGTTTCAAGTAGATGATCCAGGAAAGGGTCTCCCCAGGGGGCAGTCATGCCACAACGTGGGGGTGGGGGTACATCTTCTCTGCATCTCCTCCTTCCCCCCAAGGAGCGGGTGGTTATGGGAGATGCACCCCCCCCTCCCCTGCTGGCTAAGTCCTCTTCCTGCCTTTCCCAGCTGCTTTGGGTGCTGCTGTGGGCCACGGTGCTGGGGTTACTCTGCCAGAGACTGGCTGCTCGGCTGGGCGTGGTGACAGGCAAGGACCTGGGGGAGATCTGCCATCTCTACTACCCAAAGGTGAGCGTGGTGGGAGTGGAGGAGGCAAGGGGGGGGGGGGGGGACTTGCCAGCTGCTTGCAACATCCACGATCCAATGCATACATCAACCCAGACGTCCGTAGTCTAGCGCAGTGAGGCCCCAACTGCTAACACAGAACAGGAAGGATGTGAGACGCACGGCCACCCTACTCGCTGTACACAAGGGGAAACTGAAAACTGGAGAAGCCACTTGGCCAAGATGGAAATGGGCCAAGGGTCAGTTAGGCTGCTCATTGGTGGGGTGGCTGGCCTCACGGTCCAGCAGGCACACGGAAAGGACGCCGTGAGATGGTCCCAGGTAGGTAGTGGAGAGACAGTAGCACAGGTGTGGAGAAGGCCCGAGGAGCGTGGGAAGGGCGTGCTCTCTGGGGTAGCTCAGAAACTTCTGGAAACAGTCCACTCTGCAGACATGGCCATCGGAGCTTCTAGGTGTCCTGGTGTCCTGGTAGGTGCCACTGCCAGCAAGACTACAAGAAGGGGAGAGCTGGGAAGATTTTACTTTTTGTTTGGGGGCCGCACCGGCTGTGCTCAAGGCTGATTCCTGACTCTGCACTCAGGGATCATTCCTGGTGGTGCTTGGGGACTCATTTGAGGTGCCGGGGATTGAACCTGGGTTGACTGCATGCAAAGCAAGTGCCTATGGGCTGTACTATTGCTCTGGCCCCTACAGATTATTTATAGGAGGAGCCCTGGGTTTGATCCCCAGCCCTATATAGTCCCCTGAGCACTGCTAGGAGCACTCCCTAAGCACTCCCTGTTGTGTCCCAGAAAAAAAGAGTGAGAAGGAAGGGGGGGGGGCAGAGAGAGAGAGAGGGAGAGAGAGTGGGAGAGGGAGAGGGAGAGAGGGAAAGAGCGGGAGAGGGAGAGAGAGAGTGGAGAAAGGAAGGAGAGGTAGGGAGGAGGAAGGAAGGAAGGAAGAAATAGAGGAAGGGAGGAAGAAAGGAAGGAAGGAAGGAAGGAAGGAAGGAAGGAAGGAAGGAAGGAAAGCAGGCAGGCAGGCAGGCATGGGTAAAGGGGAAAATAATGTTTCCCTGCCCTTCCAATTTCCCCTTAGTGTTTTCTGCAAAACATACTATTTTGCCGCTGTCGTTCTTGGGTTTCCAGCCCTGCAGCCTAGAGCCCCGTTATGGGGAGGGCCACTGGGGCAGACTCAGCAAACTCACGCTTCAGCCCTGGCTGAAGGCTAAACCCTGCCCCTAGGTGCCGCGCATCTTGCTCTGGCTGACCATCGAGCTGGCCATCATGGGCTCGGACATGCAGGAGGTCATTGGCACGGCCATCGCGCTCAATCTGCTGTCTGCTGGACGGTGCGGCTCAGGGGCCCCAGCACTTCCACCCAAGACCGGAAACGGTGGCTTCTCCTTCCCCAGGCCTTGCCCTCTCGGCAGCCCTCTCGGTTTCACCCTGCAGCCTCACCACGCAGAGCTGTTGCCCAACTGCCCGATGGGGCAACAGAATGCAGGAACGTAAAATGGCTTGTAGAAAGTCACACTGGTGGCTGGAGCAATAGCACAGCGAGTAGGGCCTTTTGCCTTGCACACGGCTGACCCACCTTCGATTCCCAGCATCCCATATGGTCCCCTGAGCATCACCAGGAGTAATTCCTGAGTGCATGAGCCAGGAGTAACCCCTGTGCACCGCTGGGTGTGACCCAAAAGCCAAAAAAAAAAAAAAGTCACACTGGATACAGGACAGTGGCCCTGAGCTTACGAATGCCATGGTCACTGGCTTGCCTGGTCCCTCCCTGCACCCCCTATCTCCCAGCTCCCCTCTTCCAGAGCTTTCCAGAGCTGCCCAGGGCCACGAGGATCTGCTCCCTCCAGACAGAATCCTAGTCCCCGGGGGCCCAGGGTGGATTGACCCAGGCTCTCTGCTTTCAGGATCCCACTGTGGGGCGGGGTGCTCATCACCGTGGTGGACACCCTCTTCTTCCTCTTCCTCGATAACTATGGTGCGTGTGCCTACACCTCTGAGCAGGTGGGGGGTGGCTGGGGGCGTCTCTGTTGATTCCTGCGAGGATATGGCTCTGCGCTCTGCTCTCTGCTGGCTTTTTTTTGGGGGGGGGGTCACACCCTGTGATGCACACCCTGCGATGCACAGGAGTTACTCCTAGCTCATGCACTCAGGAATTACTCCTGGCAGTACTCAGGGGACCATACGGGATGCTGGGAATCGAACCCTGGTTCAATTCCCAGCATGCAAGTCAAACGCCCTACCCCTACCTGCTGTGCTATCGCTCCAGCCCCTCTACTGGCTTCTGAGCAAGCCGGACTGCTGCTTCTTCTGTAACTCGGGGGGCAGTTATAACACAGAGATCGATCGTGGGGCTCTAGGGAGGCCCCCTGGGGCCATCTGTACATTGCTCAGGGGATGAGCCATTGATGGGCGCAAGCTCGGGGTCAGTGTGGGAAGTTCCCTGCTCCCACCTTTGCTCTTTCACTAGGGCTGCGGAAGCTGGAAGCCTTTTTCGGATTCCTTATTACCATTATGGCCTTGACCTTCGGCTACGAAGTAAGGAGCGGGAGCAGCATTCGCCTGCTATCCAGGCCAGCTCTGGAGGGGCGGGGCCAGCGCCTTGGCCACGCCCCCAGCGCAGAGGAGGGCGGGGTGGAATCCGGGAAAGGCCAGCAGGACCAGGGCGGGCCTGACCCGGCCGGCTCTCCCGTTATCTCCCCAAATCAGTATGTGGTGGCTCGACCATCTCAAGCTGCAGTGCTTCGGGGCCTCTTCCTGCCCTCGTGCCCGGGATGTGGGCAGTCGGAGCTGCTGCAGGCTGTGGGCATCATTGGAGCCATCATCATGCCCCATAATATCTACCTGCACTCGGCCCTGGTCAAGGTGAGCGGAGCGGAGAGACAGCGACAGAGACAGAGACAGAGAGACACACAGAGAGAGACACAGAGAGACAGAGACCTGCCAGCTCTATGGAGCCCTACCTCCAAGACTACAGACCCATCCCCTTGGTTCCACTTTCAAGAATTTAGGTGGGATGTGTGAGGACCCTCAGCCCTCAATCAATACATAATAATAACAGGCCAGTGATAAAACAGGGGGCAGGGCACTTGCCTTGCATTCGGCTGAATGGGGTTTGACCCCCAGCATCCCATATAGTGCCCTGAGCACCATCAGGAGTGATCCCAGAGTGCAGAGCCAGGAGTCAGCCATGTGCACAGTTAGGTGTGACCCCCAAACCAACAAAATCTCTATCTAATAACAGGCTCTACTGTATGTGTGGAGTGAGGGACGAGTGGATAGCAGAGGTAAACTGTAAGACAGACAAGTAGGGCAGAACCACAATACATTGGGCTGGGTGCTTGCCTTGCATGTGTCTGACGGGGCTCAGTTCCCAGCATCCTATATGATTTCCTGAACCTTGCCAGGAGTGGCCTCTGAGTGCAGAGCCAGGAGTAAGCCCTGAGCACCACCAGGTGTGACTTCCCTTCCACTCTTCCCCCCCCCCCCCACAAAAAAAAAGGAAAGAAAGAAAGAAAGAAAGAAAAGATAGACAAGAGTTCGGGAGATAGTCAAAGGGTTGGAGCACATATGTTGCTTGCAGGACACCCAGGTTTGGTCTTCTGAGTACCACTGGGGGCAAACCACAGGTGAGCCCAAGAGAATATTAAAAAAAAAAAAAAAAGACCAGCAGGTTCCTTGTCTTCCAAGCTTGCACTCGAGATGCTAGCCAGACTTTGAGCAAGATACATGCACAAATTATGACACATGAGCGGCTCTGAGAGGAAAAAGAGAGCACTGACATAGAGAGCTGAGGAGACGTGGCTTCGAAGACGGAGCTCTGAAAGGCCTTTTTAAGGGGTGATCTTTAAGATGGATCAAAGCAAGATCAGGGGTTGGAGCAGGGAGGGTACTTGCCTTGCATGCAGTGGACCTGGGTTCGATCCCCAGCATCTGTATGGTTCCCTGAGCATCACCAGGAGTGATTCCTGAGTTCAGAGTCTGGAAGAACCCCTGAGCATCACCAGATGTGCTCAAGCACCCCCCCCCAAAAAAAACCATGCAAGATCAGATAAAATTTTCCTTTATTTTGCTTTTGGGGCTGCAGCCCTTGGGACTCACAGGTCACTCCTGGCGTGCTTGGGGACCATACAGTGTGAAGGGTTGAACCAAGATCTACCTGCAGAACATGTGCTCAGTCCCTGTAGTTCTCTCCGACTCCCTGGGGACCTGGTATTCTAAACAAGGGAGCAGTAAGCACAAAGGCCCTGTGGCAGAACTCAAGTGAGCAAGTCTGAGGGCATGTGAGTCAGGGGTAACATAGAGAGGGCAGGAGTCAGGTCACTCTGGGCCTCCAGGATCACCTCTGTTACCTGGTCAGTGAGGAATGGGTCTCTGTGACAAGAGAAGAGACAGAAGAAGGGGATTGGCTGACCAGGCCAGTAGGGACGCTGAAGAGATCTGAGGTTTGCAGGGACATTGAAAAGTGTGAGGGGCCAGAGGGACAGTACAGTGGGTCGGGCACTTGCCTAGTACACACCCGACCTGGATTCGACCCCTGGCATCCCATATGGTCCCTTGAGGACCACCAGGAGTAACCAGGAGTAATTTTTTTTTTTTTGGCGTCACACCTGGCGATGCTCAGGGGTTACTCCTGGCTCTGCACTCAGGAATCATTCCTGGCGGTACTCGGGGGACCATATGGGATGCTGGGAATTGAACCCCGGTTGGCCGTGTGAAAGGCAAACGCCCTACCTGCTGTACTACCGCTCCAGCTCCCAGGAGTAATTCTTGAGGGCATAACCAGGAGTAACCCCTGAGCACTGTTGGTGTGACCCAAAAAACCAAAATAAAGAAAAAAAAAAGGTGTGAGGGGCCAGGAAGAGGGCTCTAAGGGCTGGAGCACAGATGGGAGGGCCAGTCCAGTCTCTGGCGACACAGGGTCCCCAGGACCACAGAGAACAGACAGAGCACTGTCAGATGTGGCTCAAGCACCTGGGTTTCCCCCCTCCCCTTTGATCTCCTCAGTCTCGCGAGATTGACCGGACCCGCCGGACGAACATCCGAGAGGCGAACATGTACTTCCTGATTGAGGCCTCCATCGCCCTGTGTGTCTCCTTCTTCATCAACCTCTTTGTTGTGGCCGTCTTCGGTCAGGCCTTCTACCAGCAAACCAACCAGGCCGCGGTGAGGAGCGCCCCCTCCCCCTGCCTCCCCCTTCTCCTGTGCCCTGCAGACTTGGCTGGGGTCTCCAGGCATTGCAGCTCCACCCCAGAGTGCCCTAGGGGAGGGGATTTCCGGACAAGGAGCCCCTTCCCTTGCCCTACAGCTCTCCATCCCACACCTGGGCTGGACAGCACCAACGGGGAGGGGGGAGCCTCGCCTCGCAGGACACACGTGCCAACCACGCTTTGTGGGGAAAACAGAGCTGGGCCCAGCAGAGCATTCTGGGAAGGAGGTGGCCCCCTGAGCTTGAGTACGGCAAGACGTGGGCTGTCATCTTCTGAATCCTCCATGTGGGTTACACACCATCACCCAGACAGCGGGTATGACTGAGCCCTCATTCTGTACCAGCCAGGGTCTCAGTCCCAAGGATCACCCGCACTCACTCCCAAATCCTGACCCTCCTGCAGTGAGCAGACAGGAAAACAAGTCAGACAAGGAGGGGAAAGACTGAGAACAACTTGGGGCTGGAGCGATAGCACAGTAGGGACAGCATTTGCCTTGCACCCGGCCGACCCAGGTTCAATCCCCTGCGTCCCATATGGTCCCCCAAGCACCGCCAGGAGTAATTCCTGAGTGCATGAGCCAGGAGTAACCCCTGTGCATCGCCGGGTGTGACCAAAAAATAAAACTGAAGAGTGAGAACAACAGTGTGGAGAAAAGAATGATGATGGGGGAAAAAGGATGATGAGGGCCAGAGAGATAGTCCGGGGGGGGGGGGGGGGAAGGTGGTTGCCTTGAACACAATCCACCCTAGCTCCATCCCATATGGTTCCCCCGGCCCAGACAGGAGTAATTCCCGAATGCAGAGCCAGGAATAACCACTGAGCATCACAGGGTATGCCCCACCCTGCCAGAAAGAAAGAAAGAAAGGGGGTGATGAGACATAATTGGGGGTGCCATAATGGAGGGGGATTTCCATCAGCCTCCTGGAAAGCAAAGGAGCCCCTAGTTCCACCTGATTCTCTGGGACTCAGGATCTGTTCCCGTTTCTGCATGAATCCTGACAAGATTCCAATAACTGCTTGTATTAAACAGTGTTGCGCTCGGCCCTGGCTGTATGCTGAGAACTGGGCAGGGTGTGCAGGGGAGAAGGGTTGGCCAGGCCTGTGGACCTAGGCGCTGCCCCACACCCCTGCCTCGCCATGTGCCCCGGTCAGCCGTGGCACTTGCTGACCTCCCTCTCTGCTCCCTGGAACAAGAAGAGAGACCTAAATAGAGTCCATGGCTTCCACACTGAGCTTGCAGCAAGACCCTGGAAGTGTCCTTTCCCGGGAAAAGGGGCCTGTGGCCAGTTATCACACTGTGATGTCAGCACCTCAAATCCAAGAGACGCTCCAAGCTGGTTCCTCAGGCAACTTGCACCGCCAACTTTAAAAGTTGGCAAATTGGGGATAGACAGAGCAATAGTACGGAGGGTAGGGCACTGGCCCTGCATGTGGGCACACTCCCGCCCCTATGTGGTTCCCCAAGCACTGCCAGGAATAATTCCTCAGTGCAGAGCTAGGAGCAACCCCTTGAGCATCACCAGATGTGGCCCAAAGACTAAAAAAAAAAAAAAAAAAAAGTTGACAGCAAATCAAAGCCACATGAAAGGAAAAAAATTGTTTTGTTAGTCCAACAAAATAAAAAAGTCTGGCCGGATTCCGGCCACCAGCTTTCTATCTGCCCCCGGCCAAGGCCTGGCGGGCGGTCTTTGCAAGACTGAGCGTGTGCTCCTCCTTCCTCTTGCCCCGGTACCCGCAGTTCAACGTCTGTGCCAACAGCAGCCTCCGTGACTACGCCAAGATCTTCCCTGAGAACAACCTGACCGTGGCGGTGGATATTTACCAAGGAGTAAGGGGTTGCACAGCTGGGGGCCGCGGCCCGCCCACGCCCATGGGGCGGGGCCTGGGAGTGGGCGTGGAGACTGGGCGGGGTCAGATCTGCCTGACCACGCCCCTCCCCGCAGGGCGTCATGCTGGGCTGCGTTTTCGGCCCTGCAGCTCTTTACATCTGGGCGGTGGGTCTCTTGGCGGCCGGGCAGAGCTCCACCATGACTGGCACCTACGCGGGACAGTTCGTGATGGAGGTGGGACTTGAAGGCAGCGGAGGGTCGCAGGCCATAAGCGTTGTCCCCACCCCAACCCCCCGGGGGCGTCTCGCTGCCCAAGGATGCGCCCCACTTTACAGATGAGAAAACCGAGGCTGACCGGTTAGGGCATTTCCCCGAGACTGCAGACAGACTTAGGATTCATAGGAGCCTTTTCCCCAGAATTAGACTCTGTCAAGCCACGGTGGACGGGGCACTCTCCCTGCGTCAACCTACACGACTAGGCACAGATATGCCACCTCCCCCCACCCATGCCCCACTTCAGAGAAGGGAACACCGAGGGGCATGGGATGGGACGACAAATGGGTCCCTCAGACCCGCCTTCAGCCAGGGGTTCGCAGGGGTTCCTGAGGCTGCGATGGTCGCGTTTTGCCCGCCTGCTACTCACTCGCTCCTGCGCCATCCTGCCCACCGTGCTGGTGGCCGTGTTCAGGGACCTCCGAGACCTGTCCGGTCTCAACGACCTCCTCAACGTGCTGCAGAGCCTGCTGGTGAGCGTCCACCTCCCCCCACCCGCCAGCTATCCAGGACTACTGCAGCCCCACAGAAAGTTCCCCGTGGGGGTCAGGAGGAACTATATATAGTACAAGCAGGGGAGGGTGCCTGCCTCGCACGTGGCTGACCTGGGGGGGGGGGGTGTCCAGCCCCTGCCTCCCATGGGGTCCCTTGAAATCCCCAATTCCTGACTATAGCGGGCGTGACACCCGAACAGAACAAAAGCACCAGGCTCTCCTCATCCCTTGCAGCCTGCCTGGGGTAGAACCACACTGTTCTCCCATTTTGTAGATGGGAAAGCTGAGGTCTGCACTGGGAAGCCAAGCTGAGATTCAGACTCACCATTGGGGCTGGAGACCCCTCTCTCCCTTGCCTCGGAAGGCTGAGAAACCGGGGTTCAGTTATGATTAGGGGTACACAGGCAGAGGCCTCCTCCCGGCTGTGTTCAGAGGTTGGGGGTCCCTGAGCGCCCCCCTCTCCTTCCCCGACTGTCCCCAGCTTCCCTTTGCGGTGCTGCCCATCCTGACTTTCACCAGCATGCCCACCCTCATGCAGGAGTTTGCCAGCGGCCTGTGAGTACACCCCCCCCCCCCCCCCAAGCACAGGGCTTGTCTCGTCAGGTCCTTTATTCAGGGACGCTCAGAGAAGCGAAGGGAACTTACCCAGAGTCACACAGCTGTGCGGGGTGGAGTGGGGTGGGGGGACCGTTTTTTTGTTTTTTATTTTTTTTTAGAGCCTGGGCCCCAGAGGCAGAAATGGGTCAAGCCCTTAAAGCCCAGGGAAGCTGGCTTTGTGAACCCCTATTTCCCAGCCCAGAGCCAGGCTGGCTGTGACAGCTGGAGAAGGAGGGACCACCTGGCTCTCTGGGCTGGGACAGACAGCCAGTCCTGTCCCCACCTGCCTCCCCCAGGCTGAGCAAAGCCGTCACCTTCGCCATCATGGTCCTCATCTGCGCCGTCAACCTCTACTTTGTGGCCACCTTTGTGCAAAGCATCCCTCACCCTGCTTACCTGGGCCTCGTGGCAGTGCTAGCGGCCGCCTACCTGGGCCTCACCGCCTACCTGGTACGAGGGGCGTGGCTTTGGGAGGAGGGAGACCCGAACTGCACGCCCCCCTCCCCCACTCCATCCCCACTCATGGCCGCGCTCTCTGCTAGGTCTGGACCTGTTGCATCGCCCACGGAGCATCCAGGCTGGCACACAGCTCCCACCAGCACTTCCTGTACGGGCTTCCCGAGGAGAAGCCAGAGAAGGGGGAGCCGGCTGGCTGAGCTCGCCTGACTGGGGCGCACAGGGGGCTGGACAGGGGGAGTCCTCGTGGAGGCAGCAATGTGGAGCCTTTGAGAGGCAAACCCAGCTGGGTTCCTTAGGGACCTGTTTCCTAGCTCGGACTCACAACAGACACCACCTCCCCTCCTCCATCCCAGATGTCAATGACCTCATCTGTAAAATGGGGACAAGCCCAACCCTGCAATGGCAGGGGGAGCACTTTACTACAGAATGTGATACTGGGAACAAAAATAATTACTCGGAAAGTATTAATAAGGAACTGCCCCTTTGGGGCTGGGACACAGGCTCCAAATTGAGAGTTTATTTGGGGTATTTTTTGGAGGGGGGAGGAGGAGGAGGAGGCATGCCTGGCGGTGCTCAGTGGCAGTCTGGGGGGGTCTCCCGAATGGTACCTGGGCCTCTGGCATGCAGAGGCTGTGCTCTGCTCGGCGCCAGCGAAGCGCTCCAGCCCCAAACGGACGCTTTCCAGTCTGATGCCCGCTACAGACACGTCTGTTCTCTCCTCTCTCCAAACAGAACAGGGGAGGGGGGCGGGGGGCTGGGTGACTTGGCCAAACTGCACGAAATTGCCGAACCGTCAAGAAGAGCACCCCCTAATCCCACCCCCGCCCCCCTCCAGGCTCTCGCCTACTCGCCTCCTTACTCCCCACGGGTGACTTCAGGCCGTGCAACGGATGCGCGCTTCGATCCGCTCCCGGGGCCCGGTCCCAGGGAGCCCCAGAGTCCGTGCCTCGGAGGCCTAATTCATTTGTCATCTCCCCAGGGGACCGGGCGGCCGAGACTCCCACGCCGCTAGTTAACGTTCCCGGGGCGCGGACTCCCGGGTTCCCTCCAGGGGCGGGGACAGCCGGAGCGCGGCGCCCCCACTCCGCTGCCCCTCCCGGGCGGGCGGGCATGCGTGCGTGTGTGCGTGTCTGTCTGTGTGTTTGTGTGTGTGTGCGCGCGCGCGTTCGGCGAGGGACTGTGGGCGGGGGAACCCCTTCTGACGCCGGGAGCCGCCCCTGCACCCCTTCGCCCGGCGCGGAAGCTGCACTTTAGAGACACTCCCTGGGCTGTTTCTAGGCTCCCCCGCCCCCCCAAGTCCCTCCTCCAGCCTCTGGCTAGTTTCTCGGACCCGGCCCCGGGCCCGCTGCGGCGTAGGACTGGCCGCTGGGCCTGGCCCCTGGGTTTGACGCTGGGGTTGGCGCGGGGCCTTAGACGCGCAGCCCGGTTTTCCCGGGGATCCAGCGGGGGCCGGCGGCCGGGCGCGCGGCGCGCTCGGGTCGGGGCGCTTGTTTATGAGAAGAATTTCCTCTTTCTTAAAAGGGCAACGGGAGTGGGGCCCTCTGGAGGGAGAGGGGAGGGGACGGGGCCAGCCGCCTGGCCAAGCGCGCCAACCGTGGGAGAGGGTGCCGGGAGGACCCTGGACACTGGGACCCACGCAGCAGCGCGTGGGGGCGCGGGTGGGAGGGAGAAAGGCTTCTTGGAGGTGCCCGCAGCTGTGCCCACTCCCCACTCCCCGCCTTACGCGGGGCACGTGTGCTAGACTTGGAGGAGGAAAGGCAAAGTCCCGAATTGAAAAGAAGTCGGTTATTTTTGGGCGGGAGCCAGGGACAAATAGAGGAGGTGAGGTTGGGGGTAGGGGGGGTGGGGTGGGGAGGTGGTGGAGCAGCCAAAGACAGGGGACAGGGCTTGGACTCCGAAAGCTGGGGGAAATGAGCAAGCCCGGGAAGGAGCGGGGGGGGGGGGGCGGGGGGGTTTCCCCTAGGTGCAAAAGGTTGGGCTGACCTGCGAGTGACGGGTCCCGGGAGCAGGATGGGGATCCCAGCAGAAGGGGCAAAATCCGCCAAGGGGCTTAGAACCCAAGGCCAGGGCAAAGGTCAGGCCAAGGTCAGCCCCCCCCCCCCCCGCCGCGGCTGGGGTGTCTCGACCCTCCCTGGAACCTCTCCAAGCGCCGGCCCTCCCAGGCAGCCCCCAGCTCCAAGGGGGCCCGTCTGCCCCAGGCAGCGCCCCGCCTGGCCCCGGCCCCTGCCCCATCCGCAGGCACCTGTCGAGGGCGCCCCCTAGCGCCGTGGCTGGGTTCTGCCAGCCCCGTTTGCGCGCGGCGAGGAAGACCCTCCACCTGCTCTGCTGAGCTGGCCTCCCCTGCGTCATCGCCCCCCCCCCCCCGTCCCGACTCTCGGGAGGAAAGCCCCCAACCCCTTTGCACTTTGGGCATCTCCGGCGGTGCTCGGGGCTTGCTCCTGGCTTTGCGCTCAGGAATTACTCCCGGCAGTGCTCTGCGGGATGCTGAAGCCGGAGTTGGCGGCGTGCGAGGCCAGCGCCCTGGGCCTACGGTACTATCGCTCCGGTACTTGGTCCCTCCTGGGGTGCAGACCCATGAGACGGTTCAAAAACGGTGGAGAGGTGGGCCCCCCTCTTCCCTCCGCTATATCCCCCTTACTCCCACGAGGAGACCCACAAACACTTCCGGCCGCCTCCCGGACCCCCTGCACGGTCTCCAGACCTCGGGCGCCTCTCGGAGTGGGGGAGGAAAGCACCGGCGGGAAAAGGCCTGCTAGGGGCCCCGGGATGCGCTGGGCGAGTGCGCAGCCCTGGGCCCTAGGGGCCGGCCTTTAGACAGGGGAGTGGGGCGGGGCGGGGGGGGATGAGGAGGCCGCTCCACCCTGCCCCACCCGGGGGCTCGCTGGGCACTTAGCCGCACGCTTCCTTTGCGGGAGGGGGGTTCAGCCCAATTTGCGCACCCGGAGATTAAGCGACGGCCCCGCCCCGGCCGGCCCCCAGGGTAGTCCCGCGGCTGCACTTGGTGACCTCAAGTCTGCGGATCTTGAAAATGGGACGAGAAGGGAGGTTTCCACTTCTCCGAGGAGTCCGGGCCTTTAGGGAGCGCTGCAGGAGAGGGTCCCCGATTGCACTTGGCCACGCTGGGCAAATGATGAGGAGCGAAGGCCCGGGGTGGTGGCGGGGCGCGCGCGCCCTGGGCGCACGGCGGGGTGTGGCCGGGGGCGGGGAGGGGGCGTCCAGCTTGGGGCTGGGGGTGGACAGCCGTTCTCTAGACCGCCTCCACCTCCGCCCCGGCTACACTCCTACCGCCTCTCCCGGGCGCTGGGCCTTTCCCCGGGGCGGCTCCCCGTCCCCCCCTCCGCCCCGTCCTGGAGGACGTGCGGGGCGCCTGCACCCGGCGGCTGGACGGGACAGGACGCGCCCGGCCGCCCCGCCCCGCCCCGCCCGCCGCCGGGGCCCGCGGGGGAAGGAAGTGCCGGGGCGTGTTGGTCTGGGCTCGCGTTATTATTTTTTAAACCGTGGACACAGAATTCTGACAACGAATTCTAAGCAACGTCATAGACGGCGTCGGGGTGAAGGCCCTGGGCAGAACGCAGGGTGCCCACCCACGCGCGCTCCCCGCCGGCCAGACCCGGGTGGGAGGTGCACTGAAGACCCCCTCCCCACCTCCCCCCGCGGGCCGTGGAGTCCTCGCCGCCGGGCACTGCGTGCGCCCAAGGCTGAGCGCCCAGAGTTTTTGGGCGCGGCCAGACACCGCCCCCACCCCCCCACCCCCACCGACCCACAGCAGTGGGCGGCCCTGGGAGTAGAGAGAAGAAAGTCTGAGAAGGCTTCTTGGAGGCGGAGACATTTCCTTGAGGTTTGTAGGATTTTGGTCCCAACAAAAAGCCAGTGCAGCCCAAGGCAGAGAGAGGGAGGAGGCCCTGGGGAGGAGCGGGTGGGTGTGTCGGTGGGTGTGTTTTGCAGGTGGCTCTGTGTGTGTGTGTATATGTAGGTGTGTGTAGCCTTAGTGGTTCTGTGGGGGGGGGTGTGTTCCAGGTGGCTGTGTGTGGAAGGTGTGTGTATTCCAGGTGGCTGTGTGTAGGGGTGTGTGTATCCCAGGTGCCTGTGTGTAGGGGTGTGTGTCCCGAGTGGCTGTGTGTAGGTGTGTCCAGGTGGTTCTGTGTGTGTAGGTGTGTGTGTGTCCCAGGTAGCTGTGTGTGTATACATCGGGTAGCTGTGTGTATAGGAGTGGCTGTGTGTTCCGAGTGGCTGTGTGTGTAGGTAGGGTTGTATGTGTCCCAAGTGGCTGTGTTTGTAGGTCCAGGTGCTTCTGTGTGTGTAGGGTTGTGTGTGTCTCAAGTGGCTGTGTGTGTGTACACAGGGTTGTGTGTATAGGTGTGTGTGTGTCCTGAGTGGCTGTGTGTATGAGTGTGTGTCCCAGGTGACTGTATGTAGGGTTGTGAGTGCCGAGTGGCTGTATGTGTAGGGTTGAGTGTGTCCTGAGTGGCTGTGTGTAGGTGTGTGTCTGTTTGTCCTGGGTGGCTGGCTATGTGTGTATGTAGGGTTGTGTGTGTAGGTGTGTGTGTGTCCCAAGTGGCTATGTGTGTATACATAGGGTTGTGTGTATAGGTGTATGTGTGTGTCCTGAGTGGCTGTGCGTGTAGGTGTATGCGTATGCGTCTGTGTGTCCTGGGTGACTCTGTGTGTAGGTGTGTGTCCCAGGTGGTTCTGTGTGTGTAGGGTTGTGTGTATCCCGGGTGGCTGTGTGTGTATCTAGGGGCGTGTGTGTCCCAGGTGGTTCTGTATGTCGGGGTGTGTGTAGGGGGGTATGTGTCCCCGCATCTGGCCAAGAGCCAACGTGCGAGACACCAGTGGGGCAGCCGGGCCAAGTGGGCAGGGAGCTGGGCTTCTCGTGTCCTCCCTCCCTACTCGGGTTCCCCCAGGGAGAGAGGCGGCGACGGGCGGTGACCACTGGGCTCCGGAGCACTGTCGCGCGGCTCTGCAGCCGGAGGGCCGAGCGGAGCGGTGGAGGGGTGGGGGGCTCTCTACCGACGGCCTCATTCATTCCCATTTCCCAGATGAGGAAGCCGAGGAGCAGCTAGTCGGCGGCCCTCGGCGAGTGCGGAGGTGGAGTCGCGCCGCCCCGGGGCGCCGCCTGCGGCCAGCCGGGGCGTGCCCAGGCCCGGGGCTCGGGGCGGCCCAGCACCGGTGGGCAGCGGGCGAGCAGATCCAGCCACACCGCCACGCCGCCGCAGAGGCTCGGCCCGGCCGGCTGAGCGGCGGCAGGAAGGAGGGAGGCCCCCACCCTTCCACCCCCCCCCCCGGAGCGCGGCAGGAACCGGGTTCGGCCCGCCTCCCCGCCCGCCCGCCCGCCGCGCCGCGCCGGCCCCCGGAGTGATGAAAGCCACGGCCGAGTCCGGGTCACGCCGAAGCCGTTGCCCTTTTAAGGGGGAGCCTTGAAACGGCGCCCGGGTTCCATGTTTGCATCCGCCTCGCGGGGAGGAAACTCCATGTTGTAACAAAGTTTCCTCCGCGCCCCCTCCCTTCCCCTCCCCCTCAGAACCTGGCTCCCCTCCCCTCCGGAGCTCGCGGGGATCCCTCCCTCCCACCCCTCCCCTCCCCCCCGCGCCCCGATTCCGGCCCGAGCCGGGGGGGAGGCCGGGCGCCGGGGCCAGAGTCCGGCCGGAGCGGCGCGCGCCCGGCCCCATGGACAGCTCGGCCGTCATCACTCAGATCAGCAAGGAGGAGGCGCGGGGCCCGCTCCGGGGCAAAGGTACCGGGGCCGCGCCGGGGAGGGCGCGGGGTGGGGTCGGGTGGGTGGGGTGGGGAGGGGGGCGCCCGCTTCGGGCCGAGCCCCGAGCGCGCCGCCGGGGAAGGAGCGGGCGAGAGTTTGAACTTGTGGAGGCTCGGGGACAGCGGGGCGGGGCCTCCTGGCGCCTTTTTTTTGGGGGGGGAAACTGAGGCAGGGGCCGAGAGAGGGGGAGTGAGTGCTGCTGCTGGCGACGCGGGCCGGGCGCGGTGCCCGAGTTGGCGCCCCCACCCTCCTCCCCCCGCCCCCGCCTCGGTTGGCGCCAATGGGGCTGGGAGTGGAGAAAGGGGGTGCAGAGGGCGCCGGCGGGCCACCCGCGCAAACTCCGCCCCTCCCCCCGGGGGCCGTGTCGCGGGAGGGGGCGCCGAGGTGACAGCGGGCAGGGGAGGTGGGGGGGAGCTCTCCCGCCAACACACAGCCACGTCCCCCTCCCCCCCCCCGCAAACTTCCGCGTCACGCAGGGAGGCGCCGAACCTTCCAGAGGCACGGCGAGGGGCACCCCCCCAAGCCGGGGCGCCTGGCGGGGGGCACTGCGAGCGCCCCAGCTGCAGGCCCGTGAGTACCGGGCCTGTGCACACACGCACGGGCCTGGAGAGCGCCCGCCAGCTGCAGCCGGGCGCTGGCGGCGGGGGGCCCTGATTAGGGGTCTGCCCCTCCCTGGCCCGGGCTTGACCTCCAGAGCTCGGAAGGTGCGCTCGGTCGGGCCCCCCCAGGCTCCGCCCGGAGCTGGGGGCCAGGGTAGGGGTGGAGGCGGGTCCGTCAATCAGGCGGGCGGAAGCCGCGAGCGGGGTTGAGGTCTGGGCGGGGCGGGAACGAAGGAGGCGGAGCCGGGAGGGGCATGGGGTGGGGGGACACACCCCTGGCCTCTGGGCCCAGCCACAGGGAGGACTTTGGACCCTCCGGGTGGACAGCTTGGGAGGAGGACTGGGGTGCGCTCCCCGCCCCCCACACCTAAGCGGGGTCCCCACTGAGGTGCTCAGGTCAAGCAGGTTTCAGGAGGCACCCGGGGAGGGACTGAGTCCTCAAGAGTGAAGGAGCCCTGGGACCATCCCCATCGTGGGGGTCTGCGTCCCCGGCGCGCTGGAAGGAGGGACCGGGAGGCGGTTGGGGGGAGGGGGTTGTGCTAGGAAGCCAACGCTGTCCTGTGTCCCATCCCCGGGAGGGAGCGTCTCGGACCCGCGTGTGGGGAGTTGCGTGCACGCGCGCTTGCGCGGCACAGTTGACAGCCTCCCCCCGCCCCCCTTTGGCCCCCAACCTCAGGTGACCAGAAGTCGGGGGCTCAGAAGCCACGCAGCCGGGGCATCCTCCACTCCCTCTTCTGCTGTGTGTGCCGGGAAGATGGGGAGACTCTGCCGGCGCACAGTGGGGCCCCCCTGCTCGTGGAGGAGAACGGTGCCGTCCCCAAGGTGTGTGGGGACCTGGGCTACCTGGGCTGGGGGTCTCCAGCTGGCTGCTCAGGGAAGGGACTTTTCAGGAACCGTGGAGGACCCCCTCTTCAAGCCCCATCCCACCCCCTTCCCTCCTGGCCTAACCCAGCCCCCCCCCCCCCCCAGCCAGGGGCTCCCTTAGGCGCTCCCAAGGGCCAGAGCTGCAGGGGTCAGGCCGGGAAGCGGTGGTCTCTCCCCCCCTCCTCATTTTCTCTGCATGAGAGAAAGAGGTGCCCCAGCCAGGCCCAATCCTCCCCCCAACAGACCCCCGTCCAGTACCTGCTCCCGGAGGTCAAAGCTCAGGACTCAGACAAGATCTGCGTGGTCATTGACCTGGATGAGACGCTGGTGCACAGCTCCTTCAAGGTGGGCCCTGCCCAGCGGTCCTCCGCCCTCCAGCCTGGGGGGGTCCTGGGAGGTGGGTCTGAGCCAGCAGGGCCCGACTCCAGCCACTCTTGTCTGCCCCCCGCCCCCCACCTCTACAGCCTGTGAGCAACGCGGACTTCATCATCCCGGTGGAGATTGATGGGGTGGTCCACCAGGTGAGGAGCTGGGAGGTGGGGGGCCAGGGGCCTGTGGACCCCCAGAGCGTTCCCAGAGAGGGTGTGGCCCTTGGCCCAGGCGTGCGGGGCCTGGGGCTTTCTCGCCGGCGCCCCCTTGCCCCCCCAGCCCCTGCCCGGGACCCAGTTCAAGTAATTCAGGATAGGTTGTGTGCTGGCCAGCCTGTTCTCCATTACTTGGCTCGGGGGTCGGTGCCCTGCAGCCTCGGGGTGAGGGGGCTGCCCCAGGCCCCCCTCTTTGGCTGTGGCCAGGATGGGGGAGCAGCGGCTTAGTGACCGAGGGCGAGGGCCTGAAGGCGGGAGGGTGGGGTGGGTGCTGGGCCCCGGGGGGACCAGCCTTCCTCCCCTGCCCTCCTCCCCTCCCCTCCGTCCTCACCCTCAGCTGCCCCCTCACTGAGACCCCCTCCAGGTATACGTGCTCAAGCGGCCCCATGTGGACGAGTTCCTCCAGCGTATGGGTGAGCTCTTCGAGTGTGTGCTGTTCACGGCCAGCCTGGCCAAGGTGAGCCCCCCTGAACCCCGCCCCCCAACCTCCCGTGTGTCTCCTGCCCGTGCCCAGCGAGCCCAGAGTCCCCCTCGGTCCCCCGGCACCAACTGCCGTTCATTCCCCTGCGCCCCCAGTATGCAGACCCCGTTGCTGACCTGCTGGACAAGTGGGGTGCCTTCCGGGCGCGGCTCTTCCGGGAGTCCTGTGTCTTCCACCGGGGGAACTACGTGAAGGACCTGAGCCGGCTGGGCCGGGACCTGCGGCGGGTGCTGATCCTGGACAACTCGCCCGCCTCCTACGTCTTCCATCCTGACAACGCTGTGAGTGCCTGGACTTCCTCTTTCTGGGGGGTGGGGGGGGGTGTGGTGTGTGTGTGTGTGTGTGTGTGTGTGTGTGTGTCTACGTCTTCCATCCCGACAACGCTGTGAGTGCCTGGACTCCCTCTTCCTGGTGTGTGTGTGTGTGTGTGTGTGTGTGTGTGTGTGTGTGTCTACGTCTTCCATCCCGACAACGCTGTGAGTGCCTGGACTCCCTCTTCCTGGTGTGTGTGTGTGTGTGTGTGTGTGTGTGTGTGTGTGTGTTGGGAGGCAGGGACGGGGTGCGTTCCTGCCACACCACTGGAATCCCTTCCTCTGAGGTCCAGGGTCCCCAGAGAGCCAGACCTGTTATTGGGCTACAGAAGTGACTCCATGAGTCCTAATTAGGGTCTTAAAAAACTGAAATGGGGGCTGAAGTGATAGCACAATGGGTAGGGCATTTGCCTTGCACGCGGCTGACCCGGGTTTGATTCCCAGCATCCCATAGGGTCCCCTGAGCACCACCAGGAGTAACCCCTGTGCATCGCCAGGTGTGACCCAAAAAGCAAAAAAAAAAAAAAAAAAACTGAAATGGGGGCTGGGGAGATGGCTCCAAGGGCTGGTAGGATGCTTAGGGGTGCGAAGCCTGGATTGGATCCCCCCCCCAAAATCAAACCAACCCAGGGACTGCAATGAATAGTACAGTGGGGAAGGCATTTGCCTTGCATGTGCCTGACCCCGGTTAGATCCCTGGCATCCCATAGGGTCCCCCGAGCACAGCCAGGAGTGATTCCTAAGTGCAAAGCCAGGAGTAACCCCTGAACATCTCTGGGTGTGACCCCAGAAAAGCCCAAAAAAAAGCCACAAAAAAGCACAAACAACCCCGCCTGAAACGGAAGAGTTGGGCTCCGCCTCCGTGGAGGCTAGCTGGGCCAGGGTCTGCAGCTGCCGGTGAGTGACAGTGGTCGGGCAGGAGCTTCCAGAAGGCGGCCCCGGCCCCCTCACGCCCTCTGCCTCTCTGCTCAGGTGCCTGTGGCCTCGTGGTTTGACAACATGAGTGACACGGAGCTCCAGGACCTCCTGCCGTTCTTTGAGCAGCTCAGCCGGGTGGAGGACGTGTACTCAGTACTCAGGCAGCCGCGGCCTGGCAGCTAGTGAGGTGCAACTGGGGCCAGGACCTGCCCCTGACCAGTGCTCACCCCTGGCCCAAGGACCCTGCCTCAAGAGCTCCCAGCGGCCGCAGCCCACCTCGGTGCCTCGAGGATGACACCCCCCCACCTCCCGGCGAGCAGGCTGCACACGGGGCCACGCGAGTCCCCTGCCCCGGATCAGTGCCTTAGCTTCCTGGGGTCCCTGCGTGCTGCTCCCCCTCTCTGTCCCCTCTGTGCTGCCATGTTTCTCTGCTGCCAAACGGGGCCCCTGGACCTCTTCCAGTTCTGCTTGGAGGGGCGGGGTCCCTGCCGTCCCAGGCCTTGGGGGCCGCCCCCCCCCCAGCCCCGAACGGTGGACACCAAGTGCCTTGCACCCTCATTCCCTGCCACAGTTCCCTACATCTGGGACGGCGCCTGCCTGGAGAGGAGAACCACTCCCTTCCACGCCTCCCTGGGGACTCCTGCCCCCCCCCCCCTCAGAGAACAAGGGGACCGACCGCGGGGCTGGGGGGGTCAGAACTGTTACCACCTGTGAAGGGGTCAGACTCTAGCCTTAACGTCTCTCACCCCCACCCCCTGAGGCCTGACCCCCCCACATCTGACTGCCCTGTGCTCCGGAGAGTGGGCGTACGCAGGCTGGACCTCTCTGTGGTGTCATATAAATATGTATATGTGTATATAGACTTGGGGAAGGGAAGGATCGGGTAGACACCGCCTCCCTCCCCCTGCCCCGGGCCCATAAATTAGGGGAGGGAGGGGGAGGATTTTTACATTTTTTTTAAATGGCTTTTTTCTGACTGAAGGGAACCCCAGACCCAACCCTCAGTCCGTCAGCCCCTCTCTGCGCCATCCATTCATTCAAAAAACACCAGCACTGCTCTGTGCCAGCCCGTCCCGGAGCCCTGCCAACTGGAGGTGGGCCGGGGGCCGCCTCCCCTCCCCACCCCATATCTAACCGGTGCCTTTTGGGGATCTGCGGAAGGTGGGACCCTTCTTGTGTGGGGAGGGGGTTGAGGGTCCAGCCGTCCTCCTATGTGCCAATCCGTCCCCTGCAGCCTCGACCGCGCCCCCTGCTGGCTGGGGGCGGCACCCAGCCCACCCTGCCTCCCCGGAATCTTGGACTCCCTCCCCCCAAATGCTGGGTGTGGGGCCTAACGGTTTAAGGGGACCTGCAAACCAGTGCCAAGGGAGACATTGTCCCCCGCGCCCTCCGCCCTCCCCCCCCCAGATCGGGAGGGAGGCCACAGGTGGGTCTGAATCAGGGGACTTTCCCGTGAAAAGTGCCTTCTCTGTGACTCAGTCCCACTGTGCCATGAGAACTAAAGGAATCAGACTCTCCCTGTCGTCTGGTCTGTGTTCTTGGGGGGTGTCGCGACGCGGCGTGGCGGCGTGGCGTGAGTCCTGGGCACCCCTCGGAGCCTCGGTCTGCAGCCTGCGGGCTGAGTTTCCTGCACCCTGGGCCGAGCTCTGCCCCGGAGCGAAGCTGCCAGGCGTCCCTTGGGGGAGGTCCCGGGGAGGGGCTTGGGGGCGGGGCGGGGCGGGGCCAAGGGCCTGCAAGTTCAAGTTCAGCTGCGAGCGCCCGGGTCTCGGGGGATCTCGGGGCTGGGCCTCGAGCCCGCACTCCCCGCCGCCTCGGGGCGCCCCCTAGCTGCGCCTTTGGCCGCGCCGGCGGCCCATTTCCTGCCACTGTCCCCGAGGCCCCGGCGGGAACTTCCCTCACCCACCGTGGGTGGCCTTGCTTGAACCCGCGGTGGCCACTAGGGGGCGCTCTGCACCCGCCACGCGCACACAGGATTGCGCTCTGGTCGCTGGGAGGGGGTACTTCGGGTGCCCCTCACATGCACAGGGAGGAGGGAGACGTGACCCCACTTACGGTTGCTTCCGTATCCCCATCTCCACCGCCCCTACGTCTGCTTCCCTCGTGGATTCTGCCTCCTGGGGTACCCGAGGTGCTCACCTGTCCTCAGGTCCCTGAGGGTGGGGAGGGTCTTCAGTATGTGCGGTGCCTGCACGCCAAGACCACTTTCCCAGGTCTAAGGGGCGGGGTGGAGGCAGCCTGCAGCGCCCTCGCGGCTCTCCCATAGCTCCCCGGAGGAGCCGGGGCGCCCTTTGGCAGGGCAGGAGCTCAGCGCTGCCGGCCTTTGTCCTCCTCCTTTGGGGGGGGGGGAGCTCCTTAGAAATGTTTCCGCCCTCCATGCAAACTCTGGTCTCCCCAGATTTGCATCCCAGCCACAGAGACTGTGAGAGACCTCCCCACGCTGAATAAGACACTGCCACCCCCCCACACACACACCCTTTAGCCACATGCCATCCCAGGCATGATGCCAGGCCGCCCTGCGGTGACGAGGACAGGCTCTGCTCTCCAGGAACTGACTCCAGAGTGGAGAGAGGCACTTGACCATGCGCTGGAAGACCAGGAAACTGTCACTGGGGGAAGGAGGGGGGGGGGAGCGATCATTAACCACCTTCCTTAGTGCTGCGGGGAGTTTGGGAAGAGCGTGTGAAGATGCTCTGGAAAGGACATGAGACTGCCAGGTCCAGCGGCGGCGACAGTGGGAAATGGCAAAGCGTTTGAGGTTAAGTAAAGGAGGAAGCAAGAGAAACGGGAGGTGGGGCTGGAGCAATAGCACAGAGGGTAGGGCATTTGCCTTGCACATAGCTGACCTAGGTTCGATTCCCAGCATCCCATATGGTCCCCTGAGCACCGTCAGGAGTAATTCCTGAGTGCATGAACCAGGAGTAACCCCTGTGCATCGCCAGGTGTGACCCGAAAAAAAAAAAAAAGAGAGACGGGAGGTGCAGAGAGCAATAGCACCACTGGGCAGTGAATTAGAGGAGACCCCCAGGTGAGCAGCGTAAGGGGTGCTCAAACCTGGCTGCAGAGCGATAAAGCAGGTGGCGGGGGGGGGAGCTGGAGAGATAGCACAGCGGGTAAGGCGTTTGCCTTGTACGCAGCTGACCCGGGTTCGATTCCCAGCATCCCATATGGTCCCCCTGAGCACAACCAGGAGTAACTCCCTAGGGCAGAGCCAGGAGCAACCCCTGTGCATTGCTGGGCGTGACCCAAAAAGCTAAATAAATAAATAAATAAATAAAAGCAGGTGGGTGGAAACTGACGCCTTAGCAGGAGACCCTGGAGACAGACAGGAGAGCTGGAGGCAGTGACAATGAGCCATCCCAGAGAACCTCCTCAGGAAGGTGTCAGCCTAGGGACACACACACACACACACACACACACACACACACACACACATACACACGGACACATGAGTAGCATCCTTGTTTGTAAATGCAAAGCACCTGCAATAACCAAAATGTCCAGCCCGGAATAGGGACTGGTTTAAATCAATGTTGATAGATCTGTATCAGAGAACCCCAGGAAGAACCCCAGGAAGTCAAGGAAAAATACCTTTGACTTGAACCTTTGGCTAGTCTGGAAACAAGACGAGGTTCACGAAAGGGTGATAGGGCCTTTCCAGGAAAGGAAAATGGGGACGTGGCTGGAGAGATAGCACAGTGAGTAGGGCGTTTGCCTTGCACGCAGCCGACCCGGGTTCGATTCCCAGCATCCCATATGGTCCCCTGAGCACCACCAGGAGTAACTGCTGAGTGCAGAGCCAGGAGTGACCCCTGTGCATTGCCGGCTGTGACCCAAAAAGAAAGAAAAAAAAAAAGGGAAGTGGGGACAGAAACTCAGGAACCGAACAGAGCTGGAGGCATGTAGGAGGACCAGGTTCCAGCCCTGGCCCCGCGTGGTTTCCAAGTCCTGCTGGAACTGACCCTGAGCACTGAGTCAGGAGTGGCCCCTGGTCACCACTAGGTGCGGCCCCAAATTTAAAATATTTATTTATTTATTTATTATTATTTTTTTGGCCACAGCCAGTGATGCTCAGGAGTTACTCCTGGCTCTGCACTCAGGAATTACTCCTGGTGGTGTTGGGAGACCATAAGGGATGCCGGGGATCAAACCCGGGTCAGTTGCATGCAAGGCAAGTGCCCTACCTGCTGTTCTATTGCTTTGGCCTCAATAAAAAAAAAATTTTTTTTAAAGACATATCTTTTTATACATCTACTTTTGAGTACTTTGTCCCTCCTTACTTTTTTTTCTTTTTTAAAGAAAAACAACGTAAGCTATCACTCTGAAGAGTGATAGAGTACAGAGGTTAGGGCATTTGCCAGGAGTGATTCTTAAGTGCAGAGCCAGGAATAATTCCTGTGCACTGCTGCGTGTGGCCCCCCCCAAAAAAAAAGAAGAGGGGGAGGATGAAGAAGAAGGAGAAGGAGAAAGAAGGAGGAGAAGAAAAAGAACAAGAACAACCACAAGAACCTCAGGGCCAGAGAGTATAGTGGTAGAGCACTTGCCTTGCACATGACCTACCCAGGTTCGATCCCCCCCCCCCACCGAGCCTGTCAGAAACATCACTGGGGGAGGGGGACGGAGGCGGTCCCAAAACAAAAAGAAAATCAATTTAAAATGAAAACATGATTCACTGTATCACTGTCATCCTGTTGTTCATCAATTTCCTTGAGCAGGCACCAGTAACGTCTCCTTCGTCCTAGCCTTGAGATTTTAGAAAGTGCCACATTCAAGGCTCTTTCAGGGTCAGGAGAATGAGACCCATCATTGTTACTGATTTTTGGCATATTGAATACGACACGGGGAGTTTGCCAGACTCTGCCGTGTGGGCAGGATACTTTTGGTAGCCTGCCAGGTTCTTCAGAGTAAGAATGAGATAATAAGATGTCCGGGAGCTGGGTTTTATAGTCTCTAGGTCTTGGTTGTTGATGGGATTACATGGCGCCGGGGGCAGTTGGTGGGTGTAATGCCTACATACTGGAAGATGGGGGATCTGGGTGAAGGAGGCCCAGTCCCAAGCCCTGGGTCCTGCACATGATTGCTTCCAAAATATATCGAAGACAGAAATAAGTTCCATTTCTTTTTGTTTTGGGGTCACACTTGGCAGTTCTCACGAATTGCTATTGGCTTGGTCCTCGGGGGTCACTCTGGGTGGTGCTCATGGGACCAGGTAGTGGCTGGCATAAAACCTGGGCCCCAAGCATACACAGGTGAGCTCAGCCTTTTGAGACATTTCTTTGGTCTTAAGTTCCCTCCCCCCAATTTTATTTATTTATTATTTAAGAAATATGTTATTAGGGGCTGGAGTGATAGTACAGCGGGGAGGGAGTTTGCCTTGCATGCAGCCAACCCAGTTCAATTCCCAGCATCCCATACGTCCCCCGAGCACCGCCAGGAGTAATTCCTGAGTGCAAAACCAGGAGGTAACCCCTGTGAGTTGCCGAGTGTGACCCCAAAAGAGCAAAAAAAATGTTATTAAAGAGCCATGATTTGCAAAGTTACTGATAGTTGCATTTTAGGCATATGATAATTCAACACCAATCCCTCCACCAGTGTCAACTTCCTACCACCAGTGCTCACAGATTCCCTCCCACCAACCCTCATTCCACCCCCGCCTGTCACCTAGACAGGCACATTGCAAAGTTTCAGTGGTTGCCGCTTAGCTCTCACATTTTTCAGCTTGTTGAGTCTTTGTTTTGGGTCTGTGGCTGTTCCCCTCATTCATATCATCGGAATTACTGAAGCCCTGATGCCTGTTCACCCCTTACTTCTTGTTCTTTGCTTCCCCCCTTGATTACTTCCCTTTTCTGTCTGTCTCCTCTCTGAATTCCCTTTCTTTCCTCCAGACATTCATTATAGTCATTAGTGTATAGTCTGGAGCCCAATACATGGTGTGGGAACAGTTTGTTAAGAAAGGTTGTAGAGGGGCTGGAGCGATAGCACAGCGGGTAGGGCATTTGCCTTGTATGCGGCCGACCTGGGTTTGATTCCCAGCATCCCATATGGTCCCCTGAGCACATCGCCAGGAGTGATTCCTGAGTGCAGAGATCGGAGTAACCCCTGAGCATTGCCGGGTGTGACCCAAAATGCAAAAGAAGGGAAAAAAAGAAAAAGGAAGAAAGAAAGAAAGAAAGAAAGAAAGAAAGAAAGAAAGAAAGAAAGAAAGAAAGAAAAAAGAAAAGACATGTAAGTTGCCAGGGCTGGAGAGAGTACAGCGGGTAAGGTGCTTACCTTGTACATGCCCAACCCAGGTTTGATACCTGGCACTGTATATGCTTCCCTGAGTACCGCCCAGCATGAATCCTGAACACAGAGCCAGGGAGAATCCCTGAGCATCTCTGAGTCGACATGCTCTCCCCGGCAAGAAAAAAAAATAAATAAAAGGGAAAGTTCATAGATCATTGCTAAGTGAATATTACAAATGGAGAAGTAGACTGTAAAAGACATCTCGTGCTATCAGCTAGCCCAGC